GTAATAATAAATATGTTGAAACCTTTTTCCAGCAAACTTTAGTCTAAGCACTTTTCTTATGTTGTCACATTCTTTGGTGGGATTGTCGATGGAGCAAATGTATTTTTGGTATAACAATTAACAACATTACTTATTTTGCGAAACTGACAGTAAATCATCCTATTTCGTCTAAGGTGATGAAGGACTGGTAGTATAATTTTCCCACAATCATATGAGTAGAGAAAATACAAGTTTGCTTCATCGACAATCCCAACGCGGAATGCGTTATGGAAAATGTCTGACATTCTGTGCAATTCACATCTGCCTTGTGACCCAAATGCACTCGTGGCAATGTGGCGTAGTGAGTAACACGCTGCAGTCTCCTGGTTCGACTCTCGCTGGGGGTGTTGATAAGACCGATGTGAGCCTGGATGAGAACATCTTTTGGGAGTTGCAAGACTATATGAAATTGAATGGGAACGTCATATGATTGTGGGAAAATTCTGTTTTCAGTCCTTCATCTCCCATAAACGAATTACGCTGAATACATCTCATATTTCGTTAACTTGTCAGCCGGTGCCCCCTCAGGTGGAGTTCTCCAGCTCCGTCTGTGGGAGCTGTCACTGGATTGGTCGAGAGAGCACTCTGCATGCCGGTTCGTCTGTCCTGTAGTGGCCTGGAAAATGTCAGTTGCCGGATCGATTGGCGTCCAGGTCCTTCGAAGCGCTGTGCACGTGTAGCCAAGGCGAGGGGGTCTCGAGCGGATTCGACCGTCTGCTTGTCTCCAAGCCTGATCGATTGGGGAAAAATAGACATTTTCTCCGATAAATAGCATTTGGAATAGCTTCAACTTTAATTCACCGATCTACAACGACCAAGATGGTACTGCCCAAGGGCTGTCTGGAGTTGGCTGGATGTCTTGTCGCCACCTCCCAACCTGTTTCCTCTTCCCACTTCGCACCGCTGATTGGGCAGCGCCAGGCTTGGCACCGATTGTGACCTCTCTTCGCCCGCGCTCCTCTCCTACTTTCTAGTTTTGTGTATGCCCATCGCGCAATCCCACTTCACACAGTCGATTCTCCGCCTCCCCCCACCCCTCGGCCGCCTCTTTTGCCTTCACATCTCCCAGACATGCGTCCTTTCGAGTGGGCTTAGTGAGGCACAATCACCTTGACAACCGGTTTCGCGACTCGTCTGAGGCGCTTCCTGGTCCCAATTGACAGACAACTTGAGGCGATTGTCGTCCCCTGACCCGTCGAGATGGGCGTTTGGGTTCGTCGAAGATCTGTTGGTGGACATGTTGATGTAGCCTCGTCAAGGTCTGCCTGAGCACATGGAAACGAGTTGAGAAGCGGGGTCGAGCAAACTCTGCAATTCAGCCGGCTCGAACTCGAACTGGAACTCGTTGCTCTTCTGCCAAGTGAGGGTTATCTCTTGTCGCTGAGGGGTTTGCATGTGTAGACCAAAAGACCTATTTTCGGCTTAAATCCAGCCAGCGGGACTGGAGGGGTATCGGCGAAACCGGCATTAAAGGCCAGAAGGAAGTTGAAGAGAAATAAGGTCTTTGCACATTTCGTGTGTGAGTGTGTTTGATGACGAGACTCGGAGGTCAATCTCACCAGAAGATGACAGCTGATTTGCGTTGACAAAGACACATTTATACGAAGAAAAGTTGGGTTTCGAGGAATCTCTTGTTTCATCATTGTTGAGCTTACTTCCATTTCGAGTGGAA